CGGGCTGTTTTAATCTGGAGCTGTGTGTTGGAGTCTGAGCAACACACAAATAATAACAGGTTGTATGTTTCTCTGCAGCCTGAGTTAGGGTTCGGGGCCTATGTCGTTCAGCATTAGTGGGGCCTTCACAGATGTTCATATTACCAATCTAACATGCACTGATGCTCCGCCAGACCATCGGACTAAACATTTATTTGTAATTAGGGAGGTTTGCAAATGAAGGCCTTCTTCTTTTTCTTTTACACAGCATCCCAACATGCTTTTACCCCCCCAAGTTAAACAGCTTCCCATAATGCTGACTGTGGTTATGTTGGTCAAGTTAGGTCCAGCTGCATCTGGTTTAAATTGATCCAGATCTTTGTCTTAAACATCGTCTTGGTCTGATTGTTTTCACTGGAAGAACCAAACTTACAACCCGAGCTGTATTCATTTCTGAGTTGGGATTGATTTGCAGTGAAAATATCCAACGGTAACAAACATGTTCTGTGTGTTTTCAGTGCAGAGGAAGCTCAGGAGGAATTGCAGGAGTTCCAGCAGATGAGTCGGGACTACGAGGTGGAGCTGGAGACGGAGCTGAAGCAGTATGAGACGCGAAATCGCGAGCTTCTGGCTGCCAACAACCGGCTGCGCATGGAACTGGAAAACTATAAGGTACGGGAGACGCAAGGAGTTCTCAGTATTCTGCATCTCAGCTCTCCAAGCTAACTCAAGACTCTGAAAACTGAGACTCCACCAATGGAGAAATGAAACTTTTCAGCATTCAGCAGCAGAGAAGACCTCCAACAGAGCCCTGAGTTTCAAGATACTCGCTTTGGTTCTCTAAAGCTACAATCACAGTGGTGGGAGACCACAGCATGACCAAAATTATTGCAACTGTGTGCAATGAACTTGAGCACAGGAACCAGGTCTGCGACCAGTGACTTTGGTGCGTAACCATAGCAACAAGACAGTCAGTCTGCTACCAGCGTGAAACTGAACGAGATGATAAATCAGCAAAAAGTGCAAATCTGTTGGAGCCGTGTGCACTGAAATTCACATTAACAACTAGCTTTCAGAGTCCTCTATGATTCAAAATTTCTCCACAAATAGTGACGTAGTTGCTGCAGGATCATTTGCTTATTTTCCAGACATGCACATCAGTTTTTAGTCAAAGTGAATATGTTAATGTGCTGAGGAAATGCAGCGCTTCAAACACAGAAAAATAACGGGCAGATTTCAAATATGAGAATCTTTGACGGAGCAAAATGAAGAGAAATCTCCACCTAATCAAATACCTGCACCACCTCACCCGGCTCATCTTGATGGGGAATAGCAGCAGCTTTACTCTGAGCTGTCATGCTATGGGAGTCAGTTTCAATATACTTTTCCAATATTATAAAGAAAAAGTAATTAAAACCACAAATGAGACAGTTCTGTTCAATTCACTGTCTTTCCTCAGTTTTCTGTTTACTTTATTCACACAAAGTAAATGTTGAAAGGCTTATTGCACAGGTGACCGAGCCTGTATTAGGCTTGGATATATGGCTAATTTTTCACAGTGTTTGATGTTTAAAAAGCATAAATTTAGTCTTTTAAGATCCTGCAGAAACTCTGAAAGGAGCTTCTGTGATGCAAGTCCGTATCTAAACTTGAACTAAAGTGTTCGTCTTTGAATTTGCATTCAGCCGACTGACCGCTGAAGCGGCTTTGATGGGGATTTTCATATCGCTCAGCTGATTGCGAGTCGGGTTTTCTGGCTCCGGTTTGCCTGCAGTGAAGAGGTGAAGAGGAGCCGCTGCTCAGCGTAAGCAGCGCGCTCTTCGCTCTCACAGAGGATCGATTCAGGCCAGAGAGAGGCAGCTGACGCCTCCAGCGCTCCCTCTGTGTCTGGAGGGGATGGCAGTACCTCCAGAAGATCCTTTACAAATCTCATTAGTTTGTCCCGCTGCTGTGCACAGAGCCGGTGTGCGCCGGCATTTTGAGGAGCTCGGTTAAAAAGCAAAAAGGGGACAATGGCACAGAGTTTGTTCATGGTGGGTGCTGCGCCCCCGGTGCCAGGCACAGTGAAAATGACGTCATTGTGTTTTATGGTGAACTGTCCCCACACGCTGCAGTGATAAGACGGTTTAACAGCTGTATCTGCTGTTGCTCTCAGAGCCAACATCAACCCTGACGCTTGCTTGTAATGATGATGGTGCAGTTTTTCCCAGCCTGATGCTGGATCCAGACGTCTGTGGAGCGTCTGTGCAGACGGCTCCGGCATTGTGTGAGCAGCATCGATGGGGACGGTGGTGTCACCAAAACACTGGAAAGAGCAATGCAGAATAATTTACTTTTAGATGTTGTTTTTTATATTAATAATCTAAATATGCAGCACGATTCATGACTAAGGTTTTGAAATAAATGCTGAACACTGGCTGCTCTGTCATCACAAGAAATATGAGAAAATTTTGACGTCCTGGAGGCGAACCCTGCCACAAAAAAACCTTCTGGGTGTACGAAATAAGAGTTCAGATGGTCTCGCAGCACAGAAAACGCTTTGTCTTGGAAGGATTTTTGCTGTGCTAGATGAGAATTTATTTATTTATTTTCTGACAAGGCCAAAATAACTCCAGTAGAGTAACACGGACACTTTGCTGAATCAAACATTTGAGCCCAAACTTTCAACCTGGCATAAAAGATTTGACTAAAGAAATGTGAACATGTGAAGTGACAGACTGGGTGTAACAAGGTGCCTGAAGATACAAATGAAATTTGGTTCTTTGCTAAATTGCTATATTGTTTATAAAGCTTTAGCTTTTGATTCGTAGGTCGGCGTGAAGCAGCTTGACAAACAAAAGGTTCTGACAGAGCTCGGGTCTAAAGGCTGGGTTGAAAACGAGGGAAAAAGCTCTTAAAGTCTGACATTTGTTTATAAAGGTTGAATATTTTGCCTTCAGTCGTGGTTTCTTCAATTGTGAGGCATTTGAAAAGTTCTCTGGTGAATTTGATTCTTGAAACAGTTTGTTTTTGCTAAAAGTTTATTCATTTATTTCTGCTTTTAAAGCTGAAATCAATCCTCTTGAATATTTGTTGAGGTTTAAGCCGAGCTCCTGAAGATCTGCTCCACTCCAGCCGCCGAGGTCTGTCTTTATTTTTCTTCTGATTCTCTCTCTGACTGTATTTTTCCCGTATTTTCGTCCCTCCTGCCAGGATAAGTATGAGACGCAGCACTCTGAGGCCTGTCGGCAGATCTCCAGCCTGGAGGGAGACCTGGCTGAAACCACTGCCGTCCGAGACCAGCTTCACAAATACATCAGAGAGCTGGAGCAGGCCAACGACGACCTGGAGAGGGCCAAGAGGTCAGGATGAGCATGGTTTTATTGAATTTCCAGAAATAAATGAAGAAATTAAGTTAAGTGGAGGTAAAAGAAACTGTAAAAGTGTACATCTGTCCACCAAAACGGGCTCGAAACCAGCAGACGACAAATGTAAAGAAACAACAACAAAAAGCTGCAGGGCTCCAGGTTTACTGATTTATTAAATAATAAATCAGATGATGATTGTGGTACCACCTTAAATCACAGCGCCCAGTCAGTTGTTTGATATTGTCCAATTAAAATATAATAATGAGCCTCAAGATATTTTTCAAAAAAACAAAATATTAAATATACAGAAATAAAACATTGATAAAATATGAACAATGTATGTTTTTATAACCTGTTAAATAAATTAGAAGAAGAAGAAACAGTGAAAATAATTGAAATCATTGGGGGAGAATTAAAAAAAAAAA